GTATGTAAATCATGTATTAGCATTGCTTATATTCACCTATTTTCAGAAACTAATAGATGGTCATGCATTTTTATTTAAAGTGCATCACACGAGGATCATATTTGTTTTAAGTAAATAAAGTACCAGGATGTTCTCTCTAATAACTTCTGGCCTGATGATGGAAACCAATAAAAACTGATGTGAATTTTTTCTTAAAAAGCCTCATGACTCTCAAAACTAACTAAAACTAAACTGAATTAAAAACAGAAAGTCAAGATATAATAAAAATAATAGCTAATTAAAAAATACAAAACTATAATAACTCTGTACTATACAAGGTAATCCCTGCAAAAAAGCACTGTGCTCGGTGAGCATGTGCGTGTTTCTCTATAAGCATGTGCAGTAATCTTCTGTGTTGCTCGGACCTCTGATTTGGCAGACTCGTCGGTGTAGGTGGTGTGTTGGATGAAGGTTGCTCCCCACTGCTGGTACCTTTCCTCACTGCTACCCAAAAACTCTACAGCCTCCTTCAGGGTCAGGTCCTGAATGTTCATCCTGGAGAAACACACCCAGGAATGTAGGCAAGGGTAGGAAATTAGAAAAGAAACACGCTCTTCTGAGTTTAGTAAACAGTCTGGATTTCATTTCAAGTGTTAAAATATATAATAAGCTACATTTTAATGGCAGAATAAAGGTGACCTTACATTGATTTACTCTCCATTTTGATGGTACCCATCTTGCCCTCATTTTGAGACTGGGTGGAGGGCATCCAGCGTGACTGGCTGCTGATCGCATTACCGTTAGTCACAGATGAAACACTGTGTCTGTTTGTTCGAGTTTGAAAGGTGCTTTGGCCCTGTGCCATCTGTCCTTTTATTCTCTAGAAAGCAACAAAAAATAGTTCAGAACATTTTGTTGGTGCTTCTATGTGAACTACACAAAACAGAAAAAATGTAAAACACAAAATGATCACCATGCCAGGTCCAGTGGCAGGAGAAAAAGGTGGAGCCAAGGCAGGGTCACTCTTACTGGGTTTGATCCCATTGGGACTCTTTGGCCAGGTGGAGGCACCGATTTTCTCTTCCCAAACACCGGAGGTACTCATATATCTTCCTCCAGAATTTCTAGTGGATAGAGTCCGACTCGTCTGCATTGTCAAAAGAGAGACATTTACTTACTGTCCAAGAAACATTTGCATTGTTGGTTTCTCAGAAGTGCAGAGATACAAATGACACATTGCAAAACTCCACGACATCTTAACTTCAAGGCTTCTCTGTAAGGTAAGTAACCTGGTTTCCCACAAGAACAGTTTTCAAAGATCCCCGGAAACCCAAAACAGGACGATTTCAACTGACACAAAGCCTGCATGCCACTTCCTATCCTCCTTTTTCTCGGTTTACACTGAGGAAACCTGCAGAATAAAGCAAACGACCATACATGCTAATGTAACAAAATATCCATCATTTGAGACTAACCCAAGCCATTTCTGTTCTAAGCCTGATGACACATTGGAGCAAACAGAGGAGCTTTGTGTGCACAAGTGAGACTGAGCACCTGCTAAACCTGTATTCATGATCTTGATGTAATTACCAGCTTAATCTCATAATTGTGCATCATTTAAGAGTTAATTTATTATCCTTTTAATTTTGCAATCTATGAAGTGTGTGCATGGGCACGAGTGTGTG